TTCTTTAAAAGTATCCGTAGTTCATCATTCCATTTGTTTTCGCGTTTTTGACGTTGCATAAGTTGAGCTAAAAGTAATTATTGAAATATAATACGTTTAAACTACAACCACGAGAAATATTTTAGCTTATTTTCAATCACCTTTACATGATATATATGCGGAGGCGGATCCAAGAATATAATTTACCATGTAACTAAAATTAATGTTTTTGAAACAAAAATGACACAAAATTTTTGGAATGGAAAATATTACATTCTTCAGTACATTACAATTATTCCTTATCGGTTTTCATACTTTGAGAATGTTGGTGTCCAAAAAATGACGTGGCACTCTTTGATAAATGTTCATGTATTTGAGCTAAATGAGAGTATTATAATGCTGGACCATTACAATTGTATAGAGAAAATATCAATTCTGAATCCCCCTTTCTCATCCACTATATATCCCTCTATATATAGGCAGGTAAATGTCAAGCTACTCTGATCTGACCTGGGAACTTAATTCATGAATATTAACTAGCACAAGATTCACTTGGAGTGCTTGCCTTGCTAGCTCATTCGACTTCATGGTTCCCAAGGTATGGAAGCTATCTTACTGTAGCCTCGAGACCTAAACAATATCCCATGTCATCCCTCCAATCCAATGTCGTCGACATAATTCCTAATCCATACGTGGTTGTATGTAGACAAACTCTTTTGAGATTCCTAAAGGCGTCCTTTGGTCACTCAAGAAGTTAGAGGGTTTTCATTGCGATTTCAAATAACTTACACGACTTACAATGGAAACCATGCGCAAGTCGTTTCCAAGGTAAGTCGGGAAGAGGATTCTTCACTTCCTTCTCTCGATTTATGCTTACACAAGAGAATAGGAAGAAAAGAAAATAATTATTGTACCTGAAGGAGACAATTGAAGGTAAAAGCCTATGTTTTAGAAGTTGTTCAATCTCTGAAATGTTGGAGAAAGACAAGGATCCAATGCAAAGCTCCACAAGATCTGTTCCTTCTTGCTTAGCCAACTCCATTGAAGCTACCATTTCTTCCTTAGTCTTACATTCCAATGGTGTGCAAACCAACAAGTCACTCTTAAAACCCATGAGAGAGAGAGAGAAATAGAGAGAGGAGAAGAGAAGAGAAGAGAAGAGAAGAGAAAAATGAAAAATGGATTCATTCGTATTTCGTTGGGATAAAATATGAATTGGAAAATGTAAATTACATGTAAGTTGAGCACAAGTAAGGAACAGTCAGGTTGCTCATGCTGCGCATCTCTCTCTCAGTAAGGAGATGTTATCAGCATTTTGGTAGTTCTACAAAAGTTCCTTTTAAGAAATTTAATTTTAAATATTGGAAAAGAAAAAAATATAACTTCGAAAATTATTATCTTAAATTAAATGATTTGAAAATAAGTACAACCAGACTTGTTAGCTAGTTTAATCTTTTTTCATGTAGTTTCACAATGAAAAACTGACAATTGATTAGTCACCAAAAGGCATGTTCTTAAAAAACATTTGTATTGTGATAGTAAAATAAGTGAAAATCGTCCATATTATATATTATTTCTTATTGAAAACTATACAATGTTAATATCCGAAATAGAATACATTGTGTGTATTATTCATTTTCGTATAAAAGGAATTTTTTTATTTAAGTCGATTCCTCTTGTTTTTGTTATGTAAAACTTC